CGGCTTAACAGACTTAGCCACCCAGGCATCCTGGGGTAATACAGACATTTTAACAATATTGCTTTCCCAACTCGTGAGTATGGAATGTGTTCCCATTTCTTTGCATATTCTTGAATTTCTTTCATCAGTGTTTTATAGTTTTCAGGGTAGCAGGTCTTTCACCTCTCCAGTTAAGTTTTATTCCTAGATACTTTATTGTTTCTGGTGCAACTGTAAATTATATGCTAACAATGAATCATGGAGCACTACATCAAAAACTAATGATGTACTGTATCATGACTAATATAACACAATAAAAAAAATTTAAAAATAAAGTAATTTGAACCACCAATAGAGAATGGAAGAAAATATTCCAAATACAGATTCAGGAAAATATTAAATAAAATCTCACAGTTCTGCATCCAGAAAAAAATTTGTAAATGGAATTGCTTTGTTAATTTCACTTTTTGCTACTTCATTCTTAATGCATAGGAATGCAACAAATTTCTTTACATTGATTCTGTAATCAACAAAGAAGGACTGAATACACAATGGGAAACTGACAGATTTTTCAACAAATGGTGTTAGAAAAACTGGACAGCCATAGGCAAAAGAATGAAACTGGACCACTTTTTCATCATACACAAAAACAAAGTTGAAATTGATTAAAGACCTAAGTGTGAGACATGAAACCATGAAATTGCTAGAACAGAGCACATCAGCCATAATAACATTTTTCTAGATATGTCTCCTGAGGCAAGGGAAATAAAAGCAAAAATAAACCACTGGGACCAAATCAAAATCCAAAGTTTCTGCACAGCAAAGGAAACAATCAACACTAAAAGGCAACCCATAGAATGGGATAAGATATTTGCAAATGACATACCCGATAAAGGGATAGTATCAAAAATATATAAAGAACTGATACGACTCAACCTAAAAAACAAATAATCCAATTAAAAATGGGCAGAAGTGGGCACCTGGGTGGCTCAGTGGGTTAAGCCTCTGCCTTGGGCTCAGGTCATGATCTCAGAGTCCTGGGATTGAGCCCTGCACTGGGCTCTCTGCTCAGCAGGGCATCTGATTCCCCCCTCCCCTCTCTCTGCCTGCCACTCTGCCTACTTGTGATGTCTGTCTGTCAAATAAATAAATCTTTTTTAAAAAATGGGCAGAAGACATGAATGGACAATTCTCTAAAGAAGACATGCAGATGGCCAACACACACTTGAAAAGATGTTAATATCACTCATTATCAGGGAAATGCAAATCAAAACTACAATGAGGTATCTCCTCACATCTATCAGAAGGCTAAAATCAAAACATAAGAAACAAGTATTGGTGAGAATGTGGAGGAAAAAGGAATGCTCTTGCAATGTTGATGGGAATGCACACTGGTGCAGTCACTGTAGAAAAGAGCATGGAAGTTCCTCAAAAATTTGAAAACAGAACTATACTACGATCCAGGAATTGCACTGCTGGGTATTTACCCCCAAAATACAAAACATGAATTCAGAGGGATGCATGCACCTCTATGTTCATTATTTACAATAGACAAACTATAGAAGCAGCGCAGTGTCCACTGACAGATGAATTGACAAAAATTTTATCTTTATAGACACACACAAAGGAATATTATTAGGCCATTAAAAATGAAATCTTGCTATTTGCAATAACATGGATAGAGCTAGAGAGTATAATGCAAAGCAAGTAAGAGAAAGACAAATACCGTATGATCTCACTTATATGTGGAATTTAAGAAACAAGCAAAGGGGAAAAAAAAGAGAGAGAGAGAGAGAGAGAGACAAACCAAGACTCTACACTACAGAAGATAAACTGATAGTTACCAGAGGGATGGTGGATGAGGGGGGATGGGGAAAATAAGGGATGGGATTAAAGTGTACACTTACCATGATGAAAAATAAAATAAAATCCTGAAAAAAATTCTGTAATTTGTGTGCATCTTCTCTTTGACACAAAAGTTATTCAATTAATTTTAACTTTCTAGGTAGAAGAAACTTTGGTTTCTGATTTTGTTCCTATTTTCTAACTTTACTGTATGTTAATAAGAGAACCTTCTCTGTTTTATTTTTACATTTTAGAATTTTTCTTTGATGTCTACAATGCCATGTCAAATTTTCATAAATATTCCATGGCACTGAGTTATTTTATTAACATGATACAGACTTCAAACTATATTAATCAGATTTATCTTATTATTTATATTACTTTCCCCTTTGATTTTTATGAACTAAGGTGAATTAAAATTTGTTTTAATGTTTTAAATTAATGGTAATTGTACTAATTCTCCTAAATTTCCTTTTCATGAAAGTTTCACCCTTTAACATTATGTGTCCTTCTTTATGGTATTTATTGCCTTCTGGTTTGACTTTTAATTTGTCCAATGCTAAGATCATGATTCCTGCTTTTTTCATTTGTATATATGTGGTATAACCGTTAAGTATCCTTTAATTTTTAGCCTTTCTAAATCACTTTATTTCAGTATGTTTCTTGCATATAGATCTGCATTTTATTACTGTGATGAACTGTTTTTCTTTTTTCTTAAAATAGGTGATTTAGAAAAACTTTTACATTTATCTTCATGGCAGATGTTTGGCATTAGAGTCATATTTTACATTATGCTTCCAACTTTCATAGATTTTTAAAGATTCCATTACATGTATTATTCTTTGGTTTATTTATACTTATTAATATCTTGAAAGCATTATAATTTTGCCAAATTTCTTACTCTGTAGCTATAAAGGAATAAGAAGTCTTCTATGTGTTTAGCAAGTGTATTTTCCCATTATGAGCAACGATAAATTCAATATATTTACTCTTAATTTTTCATCTCCCCTGTGCCATCAAATCTTAGTCAGTAAGCCTGTGTTTCTAATACATCATTTGTCAACTTCTTATGGATAACCTCTGACTCTTTGGATTTACTCTACTTTCTGTCTTTCTTCAGTCCTTTCCCAATTCATTATAACTGTAGCATTTCTACATTAATAAGGCATATAAAAGTAAATTCTGGTCTGTCACTCTAATTCAAATGTTTGTTTCAGGCTTAGTTTTACTGTTAAATTCATTCAGTGTTCACCAGTAGTACTTAGCTATAGTCTTCCCAGTCATCCTGATTGGCTGAACTTTGTCCCCAGAAATTTTCTCAATAATTATTCAGAAAAATAATTCCTTGTATGGTTAAAAATTGTTTGGCAGCATTCTTTTTACTAAAATGATACTTTGGCTCCCATTTTCTTCACTTCAATATCCTATGGGTGTTGCTCTATGTTTTCTTTATTGAAAAATGTTACAGAAAAGTCCAACGCCCAACTCAAATTTTCCTCTTATTTTCACACTGCTGAACAAAAGATTCTTGACTTACATTTAAACACAATAGTTTAATTTTGAACTGACCATTCTAGGAAAATTCTCTCTGGTACACAACATGACGTTTTTAATATGGACAGCAAAATCTTTTATTAGGACTTCACAGAATTATAGCCTTAAATATTTTTTAGTCCCATTGTTCTGCTTTTATTTGGAAACTCGATTTATACCATTATTGGAATTTCTGTGCCTTCTATATCAATCATTTTCTCTTTGATCCTTCTGAACTCTTATATTTCCATCCATACATATTAATCATTTTGTTTTCATTTTTATCTTCTGTGTATCTCACTCTGCCAACCACACAATTTATCTTCCTTTAGGCTTCCTCTGATTTCATTTTTATTTGTATAAATTTTTTTTCTTCAACAAAAATAGAAACTTCCCTCCAAAGTTTTGTTAGTCCATGATCCAATGCTTCTGTGTTACACCATCTGCTTAGTAGTAATCCTTCCTCAGAAGCAATTCATTCCTTACATTTTAAACTTACAGTAAAATTTCTAATTGCAATTATTATGTACTCTGTAACACTATTTTTCCAGTGAGTGTTTTTATCTGCAGGTTACTTAGGCTTATCTTTTCCACATTGTTATATTTTTAAATGTACTTTCTTAATAGCTTTTGCATCTGGGATTAGAATCCTTTATTTAATTTCTCCAAGTCAATTTCTTTTACTTAACCAAAGTTACATGAGTAATCCCTCTCTCTTAATTTTAAAAGTACATGTGCTTCTCACTCAGTAATCAAACAACCAGTACATTTACAGTTCCTCATATATGCATAATTGTTTTCCTACAATGTAGGTTTTGTTGAACTATTTCCTATATTTGTAGTATGTCTATTCTCCCTTACTTGACTATTGATTTGGAACCAAAATAAAAAGCATATCTACTCTTTCAAACTATTTAGCATGTTACAGATGTCTTATCTAGATCTTGTGTAGTTTTCATCAGTGTTATCAATAAACTCTTCATAAATCTAAGCACCAAAAAGAAATGGCAACAGTGAGGTTTTGAGAGGAACCCCATCTAGCGATAATTAAATGATACTTTCTTGGGTTCATTTGTACAGAAAATGAATTTTAAAAAGAATAAATTTGTACTGGATAACACAGTATGAAAAACATTCCTTATATCAGAAAGTGACATTTAGGAGTATCTAAATTCGGGGCTTTGGGGAAAAAAGAAATATTCTAGGATCTTTAAATCACAAAAATAATAAGCCTCAATACTAGAAAAAAATACAAATAATAAAATACTGACTTAGCATGTAAGCAAAAGAGCTACTCTCATATACATGGTATTCCCTGTTAGGAAAGTTTTGATCAAGATTATAACCAAAAGTGTTTTTGTTTTAGTTGATGAAATATTTTCTTACATCCTTTAAATGAACAGTATTTTCCAGCAAACAAATAAAAAGAAACTATATTACTTAAATTATTAATTTTTCTATAACCTATTGTTAATAAACATTCTTTCATAAAACAGTTTTACAACTTTTACAACAGGAAGCTATTATTTTCTGCTGTAAGATTATTCAAATCAAATTTCATGTTCCGTTAGCTTTGAAACTACTAAAAATACAATTTCAACGGGTATTTCCACAATTCATTATTTTGAAAAACATCAACTTACTTGTGACCTAAATGCTTCAGAAAGTATCCCAGAACCTTCAGAGCTTGAACCCAAATACTTTCACTTTTAGAAGCCAATAATTTGTAGATTACTCTAAAAAATACAAAAATAAATGACCTTTTAAGCACTTACAAATATTAAAAATGTAAGCACTATGTACTTTACAATGAACTATAAATATAAAAAATCTAAAGTTCCTCTCAGGATTTTAAATTCTTCGGAAAAATTAAAAAACTAACAAATTTTACTAATATTTTTTTAAACTTGGCCTGCAAATAAATACTCAAAAGTTCAAAGTGATTCATTGCTGATAAGTATTGCCTTCTAGCACATTAAAAAAAAATCTATCTTAAGTAAGATACATGCTTAGTTAGGCTGTATCTCCCCTTCTATTAGAACTACCCCTGACATTTCTACTTGATGACCTTTTTTTCTTGCTTATAGCTAATTGGACCATGGATAGATACTTGCCCAGTTATTTCTCTTTTCTGAGCACTTGGAGCAAGATCTGAGAAACAATATCTAGTACTTTTTGGGCTCCTGAATTAGAAAATTATTTAAAACAGAAACTATAAGCAGCCTTGTTTTGTTCGCAGACATGAGTCTATACACAAAAGAATAAAGCAACCATATAGGAAGTAGCAGAGAAAGTAAAGTTGTTTCCTTATACCTTTCCAATTCCTTATTCTTACCCTAATGAGATAACTATATATAACAAACTATATAACAAACACATCATTCTGTTTTTACTTAAATTGGCTTGAGAAGTTTTCTGGTACTTTGAGCAAAGAAATCTCTACTAACATATAGCCTAATTTAACACATATAGTCATTTTGAACATGATATAAGAACAAGGCTATATCCATTATAATTTTCATAAATATTTAAAAAATTTAAACTTTTTCCAAAACATAAAAGCAAACATTTTTTCCATAAGGTAGTAGGGGACAATAATAACTATACTGTTTTGCAACTAATTCTAGAATTTAAGAAAGTTCTTTGAACGTGGTGGTGGTAACTATAAAATTAGGATGTGCTTTATTGTATTAAATTCTATTTAAAAAATAAAGTGTCATTTTATGTTTTTAAGATGGAGTCATCTAGGCTAAACAGAAAGTTGATATTAGAAGATACAGTATAATTTTTATATCGTTTCAGTAACAATAACAAAAGAGAACACATTACTTAAAGCTAGTCACATCTGTTTTAACAGTGGCTTATAGTATTATAAAAGAAGATAATATATTGTTGATACTGTTTCTTATTTGTGTGTTACTCTACTGAAGAACGGACTGAGGTAAACATTAGAGTTACTATTTCTTTTAGAAGATGAATTTTTTCCAAAAGCCTCAAGTTTTCCTAAATATGTATTTACATTGAAATCTATTTTCAGAACTTTTATGAACCAAGATCAGTAATGAAAAAAAAAACAAGCATGAGACTAGAAAAGTTATGTGTATAAGATAAAGAACTATTCAGGAAATCATGAGAAAGAACATTCAACAGTAAAAATAATCTGGAGAATCAAAGTAAAAGCTCACAGTCTAAAAACATGACTATACTCAGATAGGGAAACAGAAACTCCCACAGAATTCCTGTTTTCTAGAAATAACTTTAAATTGTAGGGATAAGAAAGGTTTAAAATCCACCCAGGACTAACAGAAATTATGATTAACAACTGAAACATGAAAACATCTGGGGTCCTTACTCTAGCACATTACATAGGATTTTCTTTACAACTAGACAGTTGTTCCTTAACAAAACAAGATATGAACACAGGATTACAATGTAGTGTGAATGGGAAATTTACTGACAAATCAGTTAATGAATGTTCACCTGAAATATAATAAGATAGGTGAATCCTAATTCATCAGTTTGAGCTTACTATATTAAGCCAGCAAATGATCTAAATTACTTGAGACAAGTACTTATGTATTCTTTACTTCAAAGATTTTCAGATATAAAAATATCATATTTTTAGCTGCTGGGTTTAAAGTTGTACTATTACACGGTCTTTCTTAAGGCCGCTTAAAATATCACCAGAATTAAGTTCATTCTTTGTGCTCAGTAATTATTAGTATATATAAATAATTAATCAGAATTTTTCCCCAGAAAATCCTGGGTAATTTTATATATAAAATATAAAATATTTTATATTTTAAAATATAAATAAAAATATAATATAAATATATTAAATATTTTTATAAAATTTATAAATTTTATATATAAAGTTATACATATAATAGTTATACATACATATAACTGTTATCCTTGAGTACCTAAGATGCAGACCTGTAAGTGTTCCATTTAATAAGTCTATTTTTTCAATATCTCTAGTCAAAGCCTACATTCTTCACATTTTTTTGAAATGGGAAAACTGAAATAGAAAACCTTGCATCTTTGTCACTGTTTTGAACACAATGGTAACAACAGGTCATGTTTAACAAGTGTCAATCAGGAGCAACCAGGCTTTGGTATTCATTGTGTCTAATCATTTTACACATATTAATTACTATTTCAGTCCCCTAAAAATCTAACCAAATATCATTTTCCTCTGTAAGATCATATTTTCACTGTGTCAAAGTAACACAGAATTTTGTCTGAGTTTCATACTACCAATCTAAGGTTGGTATCATTCACAAGGATGATGAGGACATTTTTAATTGATTCACTTATCAGTCAATATAACAAATAAAAGACATACTAGCATCTAAGGTCAAAGATACTAATTGTTTAGTCTAAATATAATTTAAGAATAACTTTATTATATGATCAGGTTCAACCATATGAAACTGTTATTATTTAGGAAACAGTTAAGTATCAGCAAATTCATATAGTTCATTCATAGTAAGAAAATGTTTATAGTTCTTAATAATTAGATGTGTAATCCTCTTCTTCAAATAAAGTAGTAACTCCATGGCTTGTAAACTCAAAGGTAACAGTGATAACTCAAACAGGACATCTAATAGAAATGATGTGATTGCTTCTCTGACTTGGAAAGGAGTCCTTAAAATCTAGAAAACTGTCATTTGTTGATATCAATGGCCAAGTAAAAGAAGCACTACTAAAATCCGTTGGCAGGTATATTATTTCCAAGTTCTTCTACAACCTGTAGAAGTTCACTGAGTTTCACATGTCTAACTTAGATTTCCTCTTTGTTCTAAAAATTTAGACTTCAGAAAAATTAAAAAGGAGAATCCCTAAAGGGCTAGGTTATAGGCCAACGTTCGTAAGAATACTAATCAAGTAATAATTAATTAAAATCATTATAACTAAACTTAGACTTCAAACTCTCTTGGTTTTGTCCTCTTGTTCCAATTACATTGCCACTTCCCAACTCATCATCCCTAATACTGATGAATAAAATAATCTACTTATTTTGCGATATCAATTTTATCCCTCTCTAGTTCATTTTCCACACTGTTGACTATAAATCTAACAAAATGGAAATCTGAGCAAATTGGTGCCCCATTCAAAATACTTTATTTCATCACCAGCAGAATAAAATCTTAACTTCTTTCTATTAAGTATCTTCCAAATCTGGCCACTATCTAGTTCTTGAGCCTAAATTCATATAATTTTCTTGTGCTCTCTTTTGCTGAAATATACCATGATCTCTTGTCTTCCTGGAAAAAAAAAAAAAGATTGTTCTTCACACTACTTGAAATATCTTTATTATAGCATCAATAAATTAATTACTCTTCTTGAGACCAAGACCCATTCTTTAAATACTTCATCAGTTTGAGTATTAGAAGATTAATACTAGTTTTCTCCATTTATTCCCTTCTTAGTGAGATTTTGCCATATTTATTCAAAAGTTCCTAGAGAAGGAGTTATTCTAGAAAGCACAACTGTACTCAAAGTTTACTAGTAATACCATTATTATAATCATACCTTATTCCATTTCTTTGATCAAATGCTGGTATCATTGAGGCTGGGTGTTCTGACATTAAAGCCACTAGTAACTGTAATACATCATGAATATTTTCATCCTGCATAATAAGGATCACCAATATTTCTTTAGTTAATATTTTATTCTAGTACTTTACATAAAATAATTAAAATAGAAGACCCAGACCATGTCCTACCTCATGCATGGTAAGTAGGTAATTTAATATACTCTGAAGTTCATCTTCTTTGACCCCTCGATCCTAATTTTAAAAAATATGTATATTATTTAAATCTAAAATTAATACTTTAAAGATAGACATCAAATGATCATTTTAAAAGAAAATAAGAACAACTTACAAGTAGTGATGTTTTCATTAGAATCTTTAAATACGCCATAATTCATAAACTATCTTTTTCCACATAATTAAGTAAATATTTGGAAAACTGTATCTAGTCTTTTAAAGTTGCTAATATTTGACTATCACTATCAAAAGTTAGTATATTTTGCTCACCTAACTGTATTCTTATTATTATTTTCTAACCATTTATTCTTTTCTTAAAATAATGCAAAACTTTATAGGACCAACTGATGTATATTTTACTTTTATTTTCCGTTTTTCTTTATCTTAATCTTTTAAAAATCCTACTGTGATAAAATACATAATGTAAGTCTTCTCAAACTGGCACACAGATCATTTTCTGGAATAAAAACTATATGCTCATTTGTTATGCATATGTTCTTTGTCCATTTCTTATATCCCTTAGAATGGATGATCTCAAAGAAGATCAGCAAAAAGTGAAGTTTAACAAAAGTTAACACTAAGATTTACTTTAGGATTTTGAAAGCTACTCATAAATTAAAAATAATTACCACTAATTTAACAATATTGATTTTAAATAATGATAAAAATTCCTCTTTATTTAATATACTACAATTCTAAATTATGTAAAGCTATTTTACCTTTAGTATGAGCTGTTTCAGGAAAAGTAGCATAAATGCCCGTAGGGATATAATTTCTTTTTGTGACGGCCGGGGACCATCTAGAATAAAACAGAAAACATAAAGAAAAGAAAAAAAGGGGGGGGTAACCTCGTGATATTAAATAAGTTTAATGCAATTATGTTGGAATACTATGGAATTCTTCACAAGTTGCTTTTATTAGGATTATAATATTTGTTAGTATTAATACTATATCATTTCAGTTATATCAGAGGGTCCAAACATTAATTTTCAGATTTGGGCAATTTCAAATTATTCACCAAATGTCAGATTTGGGGGAAAGAATTACTTCTTAAAAAATTATAATATATTACCATCCATTCAAAAGTGTATAATCATCAAGTGTTTACATAAATTTTTCTACTTTTATTAATTTAATAGGTTCCCTTTTCCCCCAAATCCAAGTTTTCTCAACATTTCTTTCATCTTCAGTTAAACCTTTCTTCATTTAAAGACTGTCTCCGATTTCACACCACACAGTATATAACAAAGCACAGAAAAAGTGACACTCTATTTTAATTACTTGTTTTGCAGCTTTTCCCCCCCATGTTAACTGTATATACCAAATACATATTATAATGGACACTCAAAAAATGCTCATGAGTCAATAAATGAAAATGAATGTCAACAGTTAAAGTGTATCTATCAACTCTATCATAACATCTAAATTTCAAAGTATTAATTGAAAATATTTACTTATCAATAAATGAGATTATTCAATGATATATGTAACTTACAAAGTATATAATAATTAAATTATACCTTTAACTATTTAGCTAGAACCATGAAAGCCCTTAAATATCAAGCCTTTCTTGAAGCAATAAGGATTTATATAGCTTCTTCATAAGTTTTAAAATAAAAATCCTCATATGCATAATTTATAACATTTTTTATTCCCTCAACAAATATTTAATACAAGTTATTACTCAAACAATCCATTCCATTTATTCTTGAGAAAGAAATCTCTTTCTCATTTCCCAGACCGCCCTCTGCATTTTTTGCTCCACTGCTGCCAATAGTGTACAAAATACTGTTTCCTTCCTTACCAACACTCGGTATTAATTTTTTAAAAATAATTTTCTTTGTGGGGGAGCCTGGATAGCTCAGTTGGTTAAGTGTCTGACTCTTGATTTTGGTTCAGGTCATTATCTCAGGGTTATGAAATCAAGTCCCACATCCAGCTGTGTACTGAGCATAGAGCCTGCTTAAGATTGTCTCTCCCTCTCTCTCTCTCTGCCCCTCCCCATCTGCTCATGCTCTTCATCTCAAAAAAACAAACAAACCTGTTTTTCATTTTGAAATACAGCACACATACAGAAGATGTAAATATACAACTTAATGAACTGGTATAAAATGAACACGTGTATTAGGTCAAGATACTGAACACTCACAGTAGCTTGGCAAAGAAATCCATTAACGATTGGTGTGCAGGTAAAGGAACTACATGAGTGAAGGGGTGAGGCCCTGACTTGAATCAGATTAAATAACTGCAGAGTTATGATTTCTGTTATATAAATATTCCCACTATGACTGAATTCAAGCTCACGCTACTAATGGTTTTAAAAACCAGGTTGTGACATCCCTAAATATTTAATAATTGGCGATGCACCAGCTTGTTCCAGCATACTAAAGTCCTCACCCTACACCAGTCCGATCACATGCTCCAGCTCCATTCCATCCCATTAGAGACAGCCATTATCTTAGTAATAATTTCCTTACTTTCATTTAATGAAATTGGACAAGTTTTATATTATCTTAGTGAGCATTTTTTTTAATTTTAAGGATAAGAGTAATAATAGTGCTTATGTCACAAGGTATTTTATAAGGATTAAACAAAGCAATACATGTTAAAGGAATTAGAATAGTGCCTGGTCCATTTTAATTATAAGCATTCAGTAAATGTTAGCTACAATTACTACTGTCAGACATGGTACAATGTAAAGAGGATATTGCAGAAGAATACACACATATGTATGAGTCTTATTTATATACATAATATGAATCCCTATTTTATAAAATAGAATAAACAGATATTTTACAAATATAAAAGTGGCATAAATCACAAATGATACCTTTTATGTAAAGTACAGAAGGCTAAACAATCAATTGCTTAGGAATACACATATAAATAGCAAAGTAGTAAAGCATACTAAAAAATAATAAGCATTCAAGTAAGGAAAAGGCATAATAAACATAAAAGAAAACATGAAACAAAATTGAGCATAGGGTTATCTCTATGGCTGGGAATGGGAGGAAGATATGACCAAAGATAGGTAAATACAGGTTTATGGTAATATTCTCTCTCTTAAGTTTGGTGAGACCCATATGAGGTTTATTACATATTTACATACTTGCATTTATGATATATTCAAAATAAAACTTTGAAACACCTATAATTTGAAGCATCTACATGTAGGCATGTGTAAGTCGGTGTTTGTATGAACAGAGAAAAAGAGGTAGATGAATATAAGACTGGTGATACTGGCTCCTTGGGAGATTAGTAAGTTTTTATTTATTAACCTTTGTATTATTCTACTTGTTAACTAAGATCATGTATTACTACGGTACCTTATTAATATAAATAAGTTTTTTATACTGCACCTGACAGAATAATAATTTAAAAAGTGTTAAATAAGAGTTAAAGCCAAAAGACCCTACTTCTCGTCAGTGCCTACAAATGAATTAGTACTATGAAAAGCGAGTGTGTACAAATTATCTTTACAGTGTCCTTAAAAGAAAAGGAAAGCATTTCAGTTCAAAATGGTATTGAAAAAAGTTGTTATTTAGAAAGCTATGCTTCAAGTAAGGGCCTCACATTTCACTAAATATCGAAGTTAATTTCGGATAGACTAAAAAGTTAAATTAAAAAGGTACATTAAACATAATAAAAAGATGCATTAAAAAAGAATAACCCAGGGGTGCCTGGGTGGCTCAGTGGGTTAAAGCCTCTGCTTTGGCTCAGGTCATGATCCCAGGGTTCTGTGACTGAGCCCCTCATTGGGCTCTCTGCTCACTGGGGAGCCTGCTTCTCTCTCTGTCTGCATCTCAGCCTACTTGTGATCTCTGTCTGTCAAATAAATAAAAAAGTCTTAAAAAAAAAATAACCCATTAAAAAAAAAGAAATTCTCTTCCAGTTCCTTGTCACTTTTCTTTAAAATATATGTCTTTGGTTTCTTCCCTCCCCTCTCCTTGAAGAAGCTAGAGCCAGCCAGGCTTGAGGGTCTAGGGATGGGAGAAAGGAGCAGAGGCCAAGGAAACACCAGATGCTGGCAGGGCTGAAGAGGCAACCAAGTCTGGCAGGACCTTCAGGGTCAGAGTGAGGAAACAAAATGGGCTACTAGTGTGGTCAGCAGCGAAGAAACAATCAGGTCTAAGGAGGTGACAAGGACCAGCCAGAGTTAGAGGTGAGGGGATGGTCAGGGCTGACTGGCAATGTCTAATCTGAGAAGGTGATGGCGCACATGTCAGAACACTGCTTCATAAACTAGAATAAGCAAATATATAAATACATTATTAAAGATCACCTAAGGCAGATTTTTTCACTATTGAAAGAAGAAAGCTATAAATATAATAAGCTTAAGGCTTCATTGAACTAGAAAGGAAGGTATCTATGTATAAACCTGTACTTCCTAGATCCACGCAGAATCCCTAGAAGCAATGCCACTCAAAGAGCAGTAAGTACAACAAGCACACCAAACACCTAAATCTTGGTTTCCAAAACCCATATCTACCAAAACAAACCAAGGCTCTTTGGAGAAATGGTTGATTCTAGAACTGGGTAAATATAAAATGAACCAAAAACATCTTGTGGCAGAGAGCTAGTACTAAATAATTATAAACATCTGTCATAAAGAACCAAGATCTCATGTGAAGGTCTCCTACAAGCCAAATGTGGGACAACCTTACATCCAATAAATAATGATACAATCCATGGGATAGTTGCTGGGCTAAATCCATTAAGCCTTAACATTTTTCAAGTTTCACTAAAACAAACCATATCTATTCATTTACATACTGTCTATGTCTATTTTTGCTATACACTGGCAGAGTTGACTACCTGTAAGGAAGCCCTTATGACTCCCAAGCCTAAAATATTTCTGTGTGGCCCTTTGCCGAGAAAACGTGCCAACTATTGATATAATACACAGAATAAAACAAATCCATGAAACTTGTGTTGATATAAAATGAACAAATAAATGGAAGAGAAAAAATACGTTCCTTCCTATAGAATTCAAACAAATAAATGTCTTAGAAAATATTGCCATTTAGCAGCAATCATAATAAAGATCAATTATGGCAAGAGTAACTGATGAACAAAAACCAGGAGGTGAAGGTTTGTTGAAGAACAGGATATTTACACAGTCTCAATGTATTTCTCTACCAAATACTTATTATTCCAAAAGAGAAAGTAGTAATTTTATAATGAAGAACCCTGGCAGACACCACACTAATCAAATGAGCAAAGTCAATATCCCCAGTAATAAGACAACTCGGTGTCATGTGCCTCTTGACATGATATGATGTGGCAGAATTGGTATGACTTCTAAGCGACTCCAACCAAAAATGAAAAACATGGATCACCATGAGCAAATATCAAACAAATCCAAATTAAGGGACATTCTAAAAAGTAATTTGTCTGTGTTCTTCGAAAATATCAAAGTCACGGAAGACAAAGAAATACTAACAAAAAACTATTCTATATTGAAGACTATTAAAGTGACAAGGCAACTAATGCAATATACAATCCTCGACTGGGATTCAGAGGAAAAAAAAAAAGATTAAGGATATTATTGGAATAATTGGTAAAATTTAAATGCGATCTTTGGATTAGATGATTACACTGTATTAATGTTAATTACCTCATTTTAATGGTTGCCCTTGGTTATCTAAGACTATGCCTTTTAGGACACAAACAGTAAAATATTTAAGGTAATGCAGTATCACATCTATAATTTATTCTCAACTGATTCAGAAAAAATATATGCATGTATATATGACTATATTACATAAAAACGGAGAATGAGAAAGTCTATGTGGTAAAATATAAAATACTGGAAAACATGGTGGGAATATGGTAATTCTCTATATAACTCTTGCAACTTTCGATAAATTAGAAATTTGTTTTCTGAAGCAGAAATGAATATGTATGAATATATGATCTGTTTGGGGTAAAGAAACTATCAGAGTATGTGTTTTAAAAAGGTGCTGAATCACATAGACATGATTCAAATTTTAGTTCTGTTACTTTGTACCAACTTTCAGTTTCCAAACTGAAAAAATAACAGTGATACTGACAATTTAGTTACATAGTCCGATGTGTATGAGGTAAACATGTCTATGCATATATAATTACATTATATATAAATGACTACACAAAATAAACAGGATATTTAGTGTAGATTCAAACTCCTGGTGAACATTCAGTAAATTTTAGGCATTATCAAGATTAAAAGTAACAAAAAAGTCATGAATGACAGAATAATACACCAGATTGCAAGTCACACAATTTTTAAAGTCCTATCAATAAAAGGCATAACATAAGTTAATAAATGAAAATTAAAGTAGTGAAATGTTATTTTCCCTTATTAAAAAATTTTTATGAAACAATACTTTTCACACTATTGTTAGTAAGCTGAGAAAAGCACTCTCCCATACTACATAGTTATTCTCTCAGTAATTTTAAACAAATCAAAGATGGAAGTAAACGATTATATACAAAGGAATAGATCACTGTTATTTATAGGATCAAAATTTTAGAAACATGTAAATGGTACATTCTTTTAGATTACTATGTAGAGTCAAGAAGAAAACAGAAAAAAGATCAAGAAAATCTCAGTTCTGTAAGAGTTTAAATATTTCACATATTTAATACAATGAAAAACATGGAAGAACATACAGCAAGCTTGTAACAGTTCTTATGTCCGGGGTTGGGTCATGAATTTTTTTTTTCTACATCATTTTAGATGTAGAAATGATGAGTATGTATTTTTATATAATTAGGAAACTGGTGATTTTTTTTATTTTTATTTTTTACGATTTTACTTATTTTATTTTAGGGAAAGAGAAAGTGAGCACACTCATGCACATGTACATGAGCTGGGAGAGAGGCACAGGGAGAAGCAGAGACCCCCAAGCCGACTCTGCACTGAGCACGGAGCCAAAGGCGGAGCCCAATCTCAAGACCCCAAGACCACAGCTTGAGCTAAAACCAAGAGTCCGATGCCCAACTGAGCTACCCAGGCACCCTGGCAATATTTTTTAAACAATACAATGAAGTATTAAATTAGTTTCTACTACACTTACGTTAAAGGGTAAAGTTTGGGGGAAAAACAAAAAGAAAGGTAACTATCTCAAAGGGTTGAAACAACAGTATTAGAACATCTGGCCATGATCAACTTCAGCTAATTTTAATATTATGAATATATTTTCCTGAGCACAAAAAGCAATCAGCTAAAAGATAGAATATTATTTTTTACCCACCTTTATTCTAAAAATAACTTAATATTTCAGAACTATAAATTTCTCTACCACAAAAAAATTCTCAATATACAAGGTTACATATAAGAAAGACAGTAGTTCAGTGATATTTTCATAACTGTGCACTTCTAGTGCCTATAATAGTACTCAGGCTATAGAACAGTATTAGTACAATGAATGAGTGGTAGTATTGTACTTACCTAATCCTTTAGGTGTAATGCCACTACTGTCAGCAGGATTAATGACCCAGTAATAATATTTCAATGTGTGCATTAGCTGTAATACTGTTCCTACTCTGCGTATGGTGGTGTAAATGGTAGCAGTTCCAATAAATTCAGCCGACAAGTAAGTGTATAGGGAAAGCTGAACCTAATACAGAATATTAACAGAGCATTAAAATAAATTTAAAATGCCTCAAGAGTTTATATTATACATATACATTCTAATTTAAATGCAAATTAGTAAAGGCCAAGAAAGAACCATTCATTATGAGGTTAAAAATAACTATTTATTAAATAGTATTTATATTTTTAAACAAAAATAATCTGCAGCCAACACATTCTAATAAAACTTATTTTAATAAAGAGAATCTATAGCTATTTAACAATGAAATAATTTTAAATGAGTTAATTGATCAAAAGTAACTGATAGGAAGATCAAATTATTCAAAAAGTAACCTAATCTAAAGCCCTTAATCAAAATATATTTCAGCAGCTTAAAGGTACAGAACTAACATGAGTCAGCTATATCACATTTGGAAAAAATATACACAGTCATATATCCTAAGAGTTAACATAATTCCAAATTTTCTTAACCCATTGTCAAAGTATCAGAATCTAACCATGTAAGTAGAGAGATAAGTCAAACAACTTGTTTAAAAAGTGAACAAAGTTAAAGTTTTTTTTTTTTTGAACAAAGTTAAAGTTTGAGCTTAGCACCACAACTAACATGCTGAACAATAATAAAAGTCAGACCCTTTATAAATTAAGCAAAGTTATGTGGAATCTGAAAACCATAAAAGGCAGCCCACTCTCATGAAGAATATCACTCCATTACTAATTTCCACTAGAGTATAACAGGGCTAAATTTAGGTATGCAAAATAAAAAAAATTATGTTGATATATAAAAAACAATATATATATTTATTTTAAAACAAAGAAATTTACAATCATGATATAAACTCTGTATTCACAATGTAAGCAATTTTCAGTCACAATGATTGTAATTATCATTATATAATTAGTTGCCTATTACATTCTGTTTTCTTAGTCTTAATAATCAGTGTACCAAATTCTTTCTTGGAAAGATATGAAATACAACTACTAACTTCAGAATGCAGTTATTGTATCAATATAATAATTTTCAGTTATTTTAATATTTACATATTTAATATTTTGGTTGCAGATTCTGGTAACACAACTGTTTCAGGTTGACTATAAAATATGCTGAAAAAATCCAAATGCTTTCTACTGCATAGTTTAGATCATATTATTAATATTACACTAAAATAAAATGAATGAGAATGAAATTTATACCTTTGCAGGTGTATGTATCCAGATGGCTGGGTTGAATAAAATATGATCACAAAGCTGCTTTAGCAAAGGTGCTCCATGAGATAAACCATCAAGGTATTTTGCAAAGGATAAAAATTGCTCCAGGACAGCTCTAGTTATATGAACTCTTGATGACTAAAGAAAAAGAAAAGATTTTCAAGCTAAAAATACTCAAAATATCAAATTTTAAGACTGCTGACATAATAAGTACATATGAATTTTTCATAATGCCATACCTAATAATTTAAACATAATATAAAACTATATATTTCTTTTGCTATTCAAAAGTTATATTCAGAAACATCAACTTTTAAGATAATTTTCTGAATGAGAATTTATTACCTAAAGCCCTTTCCAGAATAACTGCAGATAAGTAACTCAGGTTAAATAATGCCACTCTCATCACAAACTAAAGAAATAAAATAAGTTAAGAATAAAAATGGTTTCAGCCCACTTTTTGCCCATTTTTATATAAATTGACTAAAGGAGAGATCTCAAAGGAAACTGAAATGGTATATAGCACACACACACAAACACACACACACACACACAACACAAGATACTGGGAAAGATAGGTGCTTTCACGAGATCCAAAACAATGGGTAAATAAATTGACTCCACCATTCCACTGAATCATTTCTTCATAAAGTCACAAATGAGTTGCACAGGGATAAATGCAATGCATCTTACTCAGCATAAACCTTTCAACCTAGCCATGGTATGAAAAGTACATCTTACTCTCCTGGAAATACTGCCCCTTTGGCTTTCATGACCCTCAAATTCCTCCCCAGTGCCCTTTGGTTCAAAGATGGAAACTGCTAAAACTTATTTATTTGGTTTCTCTTCCCATAAAATCATTCTCTCTCAACGATATTTTATGTTTCCACAGCTTCATATAACAATATCTCTATGCTAAACACCCCCATCATGATTTTCAACTGCCGATAAGCAACCGATTACCAATGCTATTTAGATAAATGACAGACCTTACAAAATTAAAACCAAACCTAAAAGCTGCATTGTCCAATATAGAAGCCACTAGCCATGTATAGCTACTGAGCCTTGAAATGTGGCTAGTCCTAGGTGGTAAGTGTTATAAGTATGTGCACACTTGAAGATTCAGAATAAAAAATAATGCAAACTATCCCTTATAATTTTTAATTGAGTATATGTTGAAGTGACAATATTTAGGATATATAAGGTTAAACTATATACATTATTAAAATTAATTTCACTGGTAATGTTTTACTAGAACTTTTAAAATAATATATGAGGCTTGCATTATATTTTGAATGGAAAATACCACCTTCAAGTATAATTTCAGATGAAAATATTATAGAGGAAATGCTGTTCTTTAAAAGCCAGTAATCCTGATTTGACTGTCAAAAATATATTTTACTAAAGAAATGTTTTCTTCCTCATCTAGTGATCCTTTCTGATACTCCCTAGGATAAAGAACCATCTACCACTCAACCCCAGAACTCAGGTCACATCACACTTTCTCTCCACTATCCAGTGACTAAAGTCCAAGTATCACCATAGGATAATTAAGGTCTAAAAGAGTCTAAATTGTCTTACCAAGTTTACTTCCCATAGGTTTAGTTAACAAGGGCAGCTCAGTAACTTTCTCATAAGCATGCTATGCATTTCACACTTCTACACAAGGTATCACAAACTCATATGATCACAATATTCAAATAGTTAACAGTGTATGCCTTTAGTGTAGGAGACAATAAACAGTAGGGAGAACTGCCCAAAGTACCTAAAGGAAATAAAATTCCTAACTAGAAAAAAAATAAAATAAAATAAAAAATTCTTAAAAAATTCATAACTAGAAAACTTTTCAATGAGCCAAACAAAGTATTTCTTTGGGTAAATTTTGCTTGCACAACACCAGTTTGCTTCATTTGCTTTCTCTACTATGTTCCCTCAACTTGTAAAACCCTTGCATCCATTTCCTTTACTTAAAGGCAGATTCAGGACTTTTCATTTAGTCATATGGAAAATATGCAAGTTGAGTACTTACTATTTGCCAGGGACTCTCCTTGGCACTGTGGAAAGAACAGTTAACAAAACTGAAAAACCCCTGCCCTCACAGAACTCAAATTCTAAGGGAGGAGAGGACAGGGACATAGAATAACATAAAAAAGTAAAATATGTAACAAGTTAGACGTCAGTAAGTGCACGAAAAAACACAGAGGATAGCAAATTTGTGGAAGAATGACTAGGAAAAGGTTTTACTGAGTAGGAACCAATTAGTTTTAAGTATGATAAGGCTAGTAATGATTTTTATTACTATACTTGTATGTTTGACAAAACACCAGTGGTAAGCAGATAAGCAATAGTCAAATCAAGCCTAGGAGCATAACTTTACATGAAATTCAAACCAAGCCTAGGAGCATAACTTTACATGAAAATTTAATAAGAAGATAGAAAAATGATCCTAACAATGAGTTGAATCATTAAAGCGGGGGATGGAAGACAAAAGCAAATAAATATTTAAGTAAAGAGAAAAATCAAAGCTTGAACACTCACTTTAAAGAAACTTTAATAAAAATACAATACTTTAAAATTCTAAAACATTTTATTTGTAGGTGAAGAAAATTAAAACAAGAGATCAACGGTTATATAAAGCTTTAGCCCCTCCTTTACCAGCTATAATTTGACATAGTTTATTATTATAATTATTATGTCTTTTTATTCAGTAATAATGACTTTAAGAACATTATCTGATAAATTCTACTTTTATGCTTAAAACTCTGAAATAAAACAGTCCGATCATGTTCCTAGATAAACATTTTTGGAGATTAGATTTTATCCTATAAAATTGTCATGTGTTGGGGTGCCTGGGTGGTTCAGTCTGTTAGGCGTCTGCCTTAAACTCAGGTCATGATCCCAGAATCCTGTAAGCCCTGCATCGGGCTCCTTACTCAGCAGGGAACCTGCCTCTCCCTCTCCCTCTGGCTGCCACTCCCACTGCTTGTGCTCCCTCACTCTCTCTTTCTCTCTCTCTCCTCTTGCTGTCAAATAAATAAATCAATCTTTAAAAAATAAAAATAAAAAATAATATTGTTGTGTTTATAAAGAATACTAAAGCAATATAAAATCGGATTGGCCATTATAAACATATTTATTTGAGGAAGTAATTCATAACTTGAAAACAAGTTTTTAACTTGCTGTGTTATAAAAGGATATGCTGGAAGCATCACATGAGGTCTTCCTTCCACATTAATAAAAAATTATCAGTTTTTTTCATAGCAATTAAACTCTTAGGTGGTAGTTCTTACTCTAAAATTGATCTTTAGGAAATATCTTTCTAAACTTGTTTTTTTATTGGCCTACTCAAAAATCCAATCAGGCAGAAAATGAAAGTTCCCTTCAATAGCATGTTATCTTTACCATAAGTAGTACTTCTTCCTTCTGCCTTCCATTACTGTTAATTATTCATATATCTTTCTTTCTTGTAATAAAAGACGATACTATCTTATTCATTTTTTCTTCTGTCTGGTACCTGCCATAGTCCTCAGCAGACGTTTAACTGAATTCATGTTAAATTTAAGAACAGAATAAGAATAGGACAGATAAGACAAAACACTGATTAGGAGAAGATAAAAGAAGATGTCCAACTCTGTTTTAATGTGTTTAGTTTACAAGATTGCTTTAAATTTTTTTTATTTTGATATTTGTTTTCATTTCTCAAATAAAGCTACTTTAAAAAGTTATATTTGTCTAATGGTTACAAATCTGTAAAATGCATGCTCTGAAATTAAAACTATATGACATTACTTTTGTGTGATAACTGAAGATATACTCTGTATGATAAGTGCTATATGAATTGTGATGGAACATATCTGGAAATAGAATTTCAGAAGCCTGGAAAAAATAATTATAACATCCACTTCAGAAGTAACTAAATCAAACAGAAGCAATGGATGTTATAGGGACAAGTTGCTATTCAGTAAAAAGAGGTCTTTCATGCATTGAGAACAGCCCACAATGGAAGGGATCACCAGAAATGTTCATTTTTATTGCAGAAATCAGTGTGTGTATACACACACATACACACACACACACACACACACACACACACGCACGCGCGACATACATTATATTTTTAAGTAAATTTTGGGAAATTGTTTTAAATAGTAGAGGCACATCAAAAAGTAGTTGATCCTCAACATCTATTTCACTCCTTGCAGGATCCCAAAACTGGACTCCAAAAACCTAATCCAATATGAATCACCTATGTGTTGTTGTTGTTGTTGTTGTTGTTGTTGCTGTTTTTGAGGGGAGACAGGTAGACAATGATTCATCAAAATTTTCATGGCAGCAAATAATGAAAGTAGGTCAAGACTTAACCTGAGCAATCAAATTGGAGGGAAGGATGTTGTTCAGTAATTGAGAGAAAGGAGCTCTTCTGTCTATCCTCAACCTGGATATGAGAGCCTTTAGCACTAAATTGACCTGGCAACCTTCTTAGGACCACAAAGAATAATAACTATAGCAGCAAATAAAATCACGAGTACGGGTAGCTGAGCAGACCTACAGGAAAAACCGTAGGTCCTTCATGACGTAATTGAGACTCAGGCAACAAAATTCTAAAGTCCAACTTAATGGACATGTTTTACTGGCTATACTGATCTACTCCCCAACTTTCCCCATCCTATTTCTGTGCTTGGGAACTCCCTTTGCTATTGGCTTCCATTGGGTTTGACTGTTAAAGACACCAGCAGGAAATTAAAGGACAAGAAGAAAATGAAGTTGGAGGGACCCTGGCTTCACTCCTTCAGGCCAATATACTATATTCTTTTACTGAAGACCACACTCCGGTCAGGTACAATTTCTCCCACAACTATAGTAACTCTCTTTTTGAGTTATGATAAATACTCACTCCTCTCACTTCTGCAAACATTGCTGGTCTCCCTTAACAAGGCTCACAACATTTTAAAGAGCCTTGCCTTAAACTCTTTTCCATAACCAAGTCTTTGAGTGTGCTGTTTCCTGCTGGGACTGTAAGTGATAAGTTACCTGTCACTAGACTTCCAGTTTCATTAGCAAGCGTAATTGCTAAATGTTTAAGCTACGTTGAATCATTTTTTTTTAATTAACAACAACAAAATTATTGAATACATAAG